TACTCCATTGGGGTTGAAAAGTTTTTCCTGTCTGTCTGTCCGTCTCTGTCTGTGTGTGTGTGTGTGTGTGTGTGTTTCCGCACTACTCCTCCTGAACGGCTCGGCCGATCTCGGTGAGATTTTGCACACTTTTTGGGCATGTCCTTGGCTCGGCACACGCGAAATTTCACTATCCTAGCTCAACTAGTTCAGTTTTTATAGCCGAAAAACACCTAAAAACGGCGAAAAATCGAGTTTTCTGCATGCAGATCACGCCTGTCTTGAAGAAGGGGGGTCTTGGGGGGCGGAGCCCTCCAGCCCCGACAAGTTAAGAAGTTACAAGGGATCGAGAATGAAGGGGGGTCTGGGGGCGGAGCCCCCCAGCATGCACCAAGTTAGAAGTGACCGACGATGGACAAGCCATTGCCTGCCGAAGGCAGGCTAGCGCCGCAGGCCAAGGTAGGTACGCCAGGCGCGGATTGGAGGAACAGGCAGCGAGACATCGCGAAGCCTGTTACGACAAGACGCGGTCTGGCGTAAACCTACCTTGTGTAGTTTCCCGTTTCTCAGATAATAATTGTGATGTTATGCGCCTTTTCAAACTTTCCGCGCGAGCCCTGAGGCCTCTGAAACAAAACCCTGCCGCGGGTTTGGCGCTAGGAACCTCCGTCGCTGAATGGCAGCACCAACAAGCTGTACATGTACAGGGCAGACTGTCCCAAGTTACCCCCGGTGTCTCAAGTTACCCCCGTTGACGGCATGTCAGGGACCGGGTGAGGCAACTTCTAAGAGGCTAGGACTGAATCATAAGGAAAAGACTGTCCCAAGTTACCCCGTAAAATTTCCATTTTTGATAAATTGAAGTCTGGACCGAAGATGGGAGAACTGAAATCAACGCCATTTAGCAAATGTTATTGTCTATGTATTATCTCACAACCCAGAGAGGATACTTGGCCAAATCTGCATTTCACTCCTTGCACTACACTCTAAATATGGGGTGCCGAGCAACTGGGCGCCTTTGTCGCCCGCTCCACTTTTTAGGGTGCCAAATGTCGCCCAGTTCCTGGGCACCTTTGTCACCCAGTCTCGGGGTGGACAAATCATTAAGGAACCTGCCTTCACCCACAGCTCGGCAGCGACTGAGGTGCCGAAGGTGCCCAGAATCTAAGCACCTTAGTGGCCCAGGATCTAGACACCAGAGCATGGTCTACCATGGGAGAGGGCCGGTTACTGTATGATTTGTCCACCCCGAGACTGGGCGACAAAGGTGCCCAGAAACTGGGCGACATTTGGCACCCTAAAAAGTGGGGCGGGCGACAAAGGCGCCCAGTTGCTGGGCGCCCCATACTTAGAGTGTAAGGTCAACTTGTAAGTATTTTGTCAAAAACCCTATTATGTAGTTACCCGTTTCTCAAATACTAATTGTGAAGTTGTGCGCCTTTTCCACCTTCCCGCGCGTGCCCTGAGCCCTCTGGAACGAAATCCTGCCGCGGGCTTGACGCTAGGCGCTTGGTGCTGCCATTCAGCGAGGGGGCGCTGAATGGCAGCACCAACAAGGTGTACAAGGGCAGACTGTCCCAAGTTACCCCCGATGACGGTATTTGATGGCCAAGAAAACAGATGTTTTCTAAATTTGGCACTTTTTTAACTTTATTTAGGAGTTTCTTAACTACATCGGGGTTTTCAGTGCTAAGTCGCTGAGAATTGGTATTCGTACGTACATAGTTGGTGTACACAACACAGTGGCCTGGCGTAACAGGCTTCGCAATGCTTCGCCAGTTTCGACGATCTACGCCTGACTTACCCGTGTGAAAAAGACTGGTCTAAATCGGTAAGAAAAAAGTCAGAAAAGTACGATAGCAGTGCGACCGGCGGAGGACCACAGTGCTACAGCAGGACGCCAGATTTAAGACCGCGGAGGCACCCTCCGCCAAACAGAAAATCTATTTTAACCCTAGAATCTGGTTCAAATCCAATCAGGCGAAATTCGCACGTTTCTTAACGCACGGAACAGGCCAAAGTTGCCGATGTGTATCGGTACTCTTCCTGTTAATGAAAGCAGTGCTACTTAAATGTTATGCTAATTCAAGGATCCCTGCGGAAATGACCCAAGTTCAGAAATATCGCCCAATCTGGCAACTGTGCACTGAGAATGAAAGCGTCATGATCATGACTAAAATTTTGGATGAGGAATTCTTTATCACCCAAATTTGGGCAAGGAAAGTTTCCTCATCCAAATTTGGGTGATAAAGTATACCTCACCCATGGGTATTGATCATGACTTTTTCATTCTCAGTGTAGGACCACTGCAAAGCCGGTGGTAAGTTTACTTGCCACAAATTTGGCAAGCCGTTTTGAATGCCAAAAATTGGCAAGCTGGGCCAGAAAATGCTCCCCAGCTTGCCAAAATTTGGCAAGCTCATGATGATTGCTGACCAAAGCTTGCCAAACTTCGGCATTCGAAACGGCTTGCCGTTTCGCCGGCTTGCCGCAAATTCGTGGCAACCTTAGTTTGGCAAATGCAGTACAAGGCTTGGCGCGCTGGTAGCTTAAAAAGTTGCTGACCCACAATTGGTTCCAAAAATCAATTGTGGGCCAAAACAGCCAGTTTTAAAAACGGCTGTAGCTCAGTAAACGAGGACGAAAGACGGGGCTTCTATGCTGCAAAACGTAGTCAAGGGATCATATTTGAACGTCTCAAAGCTACTTTGGCTACTTGTTCAACATTAATATTTTAAATATGCATTTTAAAAATAACAGGAAAAGTAGCGATGTACATCGGCAACTTTGGCCCGTCCCGTACATTGAGAAACGTACGAATTTCCCCTGTTTGACCCTGACGGGAATTAAACCTGAGTCTGGGGTTAAAATAAATGTCGTTTTCGTCATCAGCACCCTCAAAAACATCAGAAACAATGCAAAAACTCGAATAAAAAGAATGTTCGAAAAATACCCCGCTGGGATTTGAACCCGGGTCCGAACTTCTCCGATTCGCTCGAAACTGGCACCATTAGTTTTTTCTCGTCGCCCCGATTCCAAAAATACCCCTACATGCCCTCCTAGCTGCATCCGTTGCCGAGATCCTCCTCGACCCCATGAAGACCATGATGCACCTGCAGCAGCGCCCCCGGGGCTCGGATCGGATTTGCTGCCACCGAGCGGTTCTTAGGGTCACCCAAGGAGGCTGCATACCAAATTTGGTCAAGATCGGACCACGGGAAGTCCTCGGACGAACGAACGAACGAACGAACGAACGGACGCACAGCAGGGATCATACTATATGCCCGTCCCTCCGTCATTTTTTTTACAAAAAATAAACGGGACGGGCCAAAAAGTGACCCACAATTGATTTTTTACCTTAACTCACCGAACATCCCGTGGGGGTGCGAGAGAGAGACAGAGCGACGACGCGCAGGGGCGTGGAGGGCCTTATGGGACCGTGGTGCCCCGTCCGTCCGGCACCCGAGGGGCGCGCGCGTAGGCAAGAAGTCTGACGGACACTCTGCCTGCGAGCAGGCAAAATGTGTGTAACGGCCCACTGTGAGCCTTGACGAAAAAAGGCAACGGTTATTTTAGTCTTTGATCGAATTATTCTCTCGGGAAAAATGTGGTGGTCCTTAAAAGGACCTTTTTAATAGGGAAACTGCCTGCTAGATGCAGTCAGTCTACCGTCAGCGCATCATCTCCATAGCATATGCATGAATTGCAACTCCCATGGGACCACGCTGATAAAATCTAGTCCTGGCAGCTGAAGAAGGCGAAGACACGGTGGCTGGTGGCTCGGGCAGTTCACGCATCATCTCCATAGCATATGCATGAACAGCAACTCCCATGGGACCACGCTGATAAAGTCTAGTCCTGGCAGCTGAAGAAGGCGAAGACACGGTGGCTGGTGGCTCGGGCAGTTCGCGCATCATCTCCATAGCATATGCATGAACAGCAACTCCCATGGGACCACGCTGATATGGTCGTGTCCTGGCCGCCGAAGAAGTCTCAGGCAACATGATGAGTGGAGCTGGGATAACTTCGCTGTTATTTTCTCGCAACCTTTCCTCCTTTTCCGCGTCCAAGCTCCCTCTCGACTCTCTCTGCGTAACTAAACTGCCCGACTGTGCTAGCATGCGACTGTGGGGCGCTTTATATAGATTCTAGGTGTGCTGAGAGCGCAGCTAATGGCGGCAGCCTCAGCTAGGCAGAACGCATCCTAGCGTTCCCATTGGCTGGCGCGTTCGGGTCTTCGGACCGTGCCGCGCGCATCAGACGCGCACCAGGGCGCGTGGTATCTCGGCCCCAAAATTGGGCGAGGAAGCTTTCCTCGCCCAAATTGGGTGAGAAAGTAAACCTCGCCCAAAATTGGGTATTGATCATGACTTTTTCATTCTCAGTGCAATCTTTACTCGGAAACACTCAAAGACATTGATGCAATTCTAGTGAAAAGATTGTAAACATACCCTATTTCGAAAGATTTCACGCAAAACCTGCAGCACCGCCCTGGAGTCCGATAGACATGCCTGATGCAAAAGGCGAGTCAGGACCACCGGATGCATTATCAGCGTCTGATGCACACTGCAAGAAAAAGTGTGGATAGTACAACAAAAGTACAACAAAAACTGTACAATAAAAGTACAACAGGGATTGTAGAATGTACAACGAGAATGGAACAAACCACAACGAGCCCTGGACTGCCCAGCACTCGTCATGCCGGTTCCGTTGTGCTTTGTACAACAATTGTTGTACTTGAAAAGTACACTAAATTCCTAATAAAAAATTTGCCAGAAATTTGTGTACTTTTGTTGTGGTTATTTTCTGCAGTGCAATGCGCGCGTCGTGTGGATTGCGCAGGCAGACTGTCCCAAGTTACCCCCGATGACTGTATTTGTTGGCCAAGAAAACAGATGTTTTCTAAATTTGGCACTTTTTTAACTTTATTTAGGAGTTTCTTAACTACATCGGGGTTTTCAGTGCTAAGTGGCTGAGAATTGGTATTCGTAGGTACATAGTTGGTGTACACAACACAGTGGCCTGGCGTAACAGGCTTCGCAATGCTTAGCCAGTTTCGACAATCTACGCCTGACTTACCCGTGTGAAAAAGACTGGTCTAAATCGGTAAGAAAAAAGTCCGAAAAGTACGACAGCAGTGCGACCGGCGGAGGACCACAGTGCTACAGCAGGACGCCAGATTTAAGACCGCGGAGGCACCCTCCGCCTAACAGAAAATCTATTTTAACCCTAGAATCTGGTTCAAATCCAATCAGGCGAAATTCGCACGTTTCTTAACGCACGGAACAGGCCAAAGTTGCCGATGTGTATCGGTACTCTTCCTGTTAATGAAAGCAGTGCTACTTTAATGTTATGCTAATTCAAGGATCCCTGCGGAAATGACCCAAGTTCAGAAATATCGTCCAATCTGGCAACTCTGCACTGAGAATGAAAGCGTCATGATCATGACTAAAATTTTGGGTGAGGAATTCTTTATCACCCAAATTTGGGCAAGGAAAGTTTCCTCATCCAAAGTTGGGTGATAAAGTATACCTCACCCAAAATTGGGTATTGATCATGTCTTTTTCATTCTCAGTGTAGGACCACTGCAAAGCCGGTGGTAAGTTTACTTGCCACAAATTTGGCAAGCCGTTTTGAATGCCAAAAATTGGCAAGCTGAGCCAGAAAATGCTGCCCAGCTTGCCAAAATTTGGCAAGCTTGGCCCGTAAATACTCCCTAGCTTGCCAAAATTTAACAAGCTCATGATGATTGCTGACCAAAGCTTGCCAAACTTCGGCATTCGAAACGGCTTGCCAAATTTGTGGCAAGCAAACTTACCACTGGCTTTGCAGTGACGCTAGGAGCCCGCGTCGCTAGTCGGCAGCACCTATGAGGCCGATAGAGCGGACTTTTCCCAGTGACCCCTGCTGACGTACTCCAGCGTAGTCTCTATTTGCAGGTGGCGAGCACGCCAAGGCTGAGAGATTCTCGCCCGCAGGACTAGCCTGGCATGCTGTGGGTGCGGGAAACGGACCACACTGGAAACTTACTGCGCACACACTTGCGTACGTTACCGGTGCAGGGTGAGTCGCCTCGAGTGAGGCTGTCTGGACGGCTTCGGTGACGTTATGCCCTTTCACCTGTAAGTTATGTGATTTGTAGTAATTTCTGTACTCTTGTTGCACGATGGTACAATAAAATTTAAGCCCTCTTAAAACCTTGCGAAGCGATTTGTTTGTAAGCTTGCGAAGAATCTGACTTATTCGCGATGCAAAGAACGCATCAGTATTGTAAATCACTGGGTCGCAACTTGCGAACAAGCGACTCGCAATTTGCGAACTTTTTGTTTGTATTGGGAACCCGTGCAAACACACTGGTCACAAAATTGCGAACTACGAGTTCGTAATATAATCAAGCCAAACTCTTCGCAAGGTTCTGTTCCGACAGTGAACTTTATTGTTATAAACCGCTACCAGCGTACCTGGTGGCACCTGCGAGGCTGGCATTGTGGGTTAGCGTTCGCGATCGCCTGATGTGTCGCCTCAAGTTAACCCCTTTTCTCTCTTGTTAAAGGTTCCGAAAACTTCAAGTGGGATTTCAGTCGTGGCCACGGTGTGTCACGCGGCTGACAGCGCCTCAAATTGACTTGTTCTAGTCCCTCGCATGCCATGACCACTGCTTCTCTTGCTCCTGGCCTGTCAGTGTTCACGTCATTTTATTTTCATGTGCACAGCCTACCTGGTGTGCGTTTGACGTACAGTGGAAGGTGGTAGACTCCGCCAAAGTCAATACATGGTTGTGGATAAGAATTCAAACGCAGTCACTCTGCTGCACGACGAATGTGTTTCATAGTTCCTCTAAAACCCTTTTTAAACCTTACCAACTCGGCTTTGTAAGCTTTACGAAGGCTTTCATTGTAACTACGTGACAACTTCGTCGTTTTCCTGGAACCTGAGGATCGTGCTTTGCGTATTTTGCTTAACTTTTTTTTATGAACATCGAGTTTTGCGTTTAAAACTAAATGCCCTGTTGTTTTAACAAAGAGTCTTGCGCGATCAAAGTGTCGTGTTGTTTCAACACAGTGTCTTGTTTGAATAAAGAGCCATGTTGTTTGAACAAAGTGTCTTGTCGTATGAACACAGTGCCTTATTGTTTTTTGAACAAAGTGTATTGTTGTTTGAACACAGTGTCCTGTTTGAATAAAGTGCTTTGGTGTTTGAATAAAGAAAGAGCCGTGTTGTTTGAACAAAGTGTCTTGTTGTATAAACACAGTGCCTTGTTTTTTTGTTCTTTTTTAACTTAGTGTGTTGTTGTTGAACGTGCCTTGTATGACCAAAGTGTTTTGTTGTTGGAAAAAAGTGCCTTTTTGTATGAACAGTGCCTTGTTGCATGATCAAAGTGTCCGCACTTGCATGGGTTTCGTAGTTTCGCTCTGCTACTGGTGGTGTAGTTTGCGTTCTGCATGACGGGAGCGTCGCTCTGCGTCGCCGTGACACTGTTTGTCTTGCCACAGGTTCTGATGCAGAGGTTCCCGCTGCGCCACGCATCCAGGTCAAGAAGGCCTTCCACGTGGACCAGTTCGGTCCTCGCGGGCCTCTGCTGCTGTGCGCGCCGCCCGCCGCCAGCGAGGCCGCGGAGCAAGCGAAGGAGGGCGCCAGCGAAGCCGCGCCGCCAGCGCCGCAGGTGGCCTCGCGCACACAGGTAAGGGGAAGAGGGGGAACGATTTACGTTCCGAAAAGCCTACACTGTCAATTGTTTTGCGATACTTTTAGTGCAACACTGAGATTCCAAACGCTATGAGTACAGCACGTATGGTGCAGCTGAGATATCGCACCATACGTGCAATGCCATAATGCCATATTGCACCTTACGTGCGTCTCGAAATGCATGGGAATAGGGAGGTATTGGATTCTCAGTGAAGTTTTTCTGATAAAACCGAGTTTGCGATTCCCACGATTTGTCGCACCCTGGAGTGCAATAGTAGTGATTGCATTTTTTTTTGCAATAACTGACCCCTAATTTGTGCGATAAAAGCGTTTTGTAGTGACTTGAATCACATTTTATTTCGATAACTTTTAACTGCATTTTCATTTGTAGTTATCTCTCACCAAAAATTTATACTTACTACAAAATGTAGCTATACACTTTCAATTACAGTTTTTTGGTAGTCATAGCACAAAAATTGTGATAAGTTTTTTATTGCAAAATATAGACAGTGGTTATCGCAGTTTGAATGACAGTGTACAAAGCATTTGCTTTATAACTACCAAGGAAATGTAGGCACTTGCTTCGGACTATGCTTGACTCAAGCATAGAGTTACGCTTTAGTTTTACCAGTGTTCGAAAAACGTTTTCTTCATAGTACGAAGCATTACTTCGTAGATATTGCATGCCTTCATTTTCTCGTATTACGAAGCGGCTATTCGTATAGGATTTACTGTAAACAGTCCTTGAACGGCAAAAATTTGTTTTAGAAGAAGCGTGAAGGACGTAGAATTTAATGTCAGTTTTAATGCTCTTGAAGCAGCAGCTTGATTCCCTGCACTCTTAGACTGTTATTGACTTTTCATCTTTATGTGAAGAGTTTATTTTACGCAGCAATGAAAAGTACTTTACTAATCATAAGTAAGATATGTTCGATATGTCGACTCAAAGTCAGTGCCACTGACTGAGAGTCAGTACGCAATTGACTTCAAATAAAGTCAATAGTTAATGACAATTTACTTTTATATTATACAATATTGTACATGATTACAAAGGAAATACTGTTTATTATTGCTGCTTAAAAAACAAAGTAAGCAAAGGAGAAAAAGTCAATAATTGGAAGAAAGAGTCCATACGCGCCTGCTCCTGTACAGTCTCAGACTCGTACTGAGTTTATGTTTAGCAGGGACTCTGGAGAAAAAATGGCTAAAATTGGCAAAAATAGTTTTTCCAAAGTTGATAGATAAAAATGTGAATAGAAGGTTTCAGATTCAAGAAGTTGAACACCTTTAAGCTAAATGGGTAGTTTCTTTATCATTTGGAAAGAAACAACATTGAGGTGAGTTGTCGTTGGCTTATACGCTCAACTTCACAGCTTTGCTCAGTCGACAAAAAAAATATGTCGTCGAATTACTTCCTGCGTTCCTGGTTGACATATACATGAGTCGTCTTGCATGGACTCTATTCTTTGATGACTTGTCAACTTACTGTAGTGAAGGAATCTTGATATCAGCCCTGCTTCATTTTGCAAACTCAAAGAAGTTTGAAAAATAGGTGAAAACCTCACTTTTTAAAAATGTTACAATTTGAAAATTTTTATCTGGGGTCAGAAATTGAATTTGAAAATTCCGTCACTTAAATATCTGTCATACATCTTCAGGATAACCCTAAAAGTTTTTTTAAGACTTACCGTCTCTTTGAAGGACGCAAGGAGATTTTTACCTTATGCTCTAAAACACACTAAAACTGCACTTTTCTCAGAGACCATTCAACATTTTGGATTGAATTTTATTTTGGGAACTCAACATAATGAACCCAATACTTAAGCAAAGTTTCAACTTTCTGGGTTTATTTTAAAGCTTTCCAGAAAGTTTCACCTGGGTCTCCCCTAAATAACGTATTGATGTTTGTGCTCACTGATAAGCAATTATCTTTTTGTTCGTTCCACTAACATTATTATTAATTTCGTCTTCACAAATCCTCAACAAAACTCTCTTAATGCGCACTAACGTCAATGAATATTGATAAAATGTCGATTGGAGGAGTAGAGTGTAAAGCGTGGCCTTATGCCTTTGCTCTTTGTTTTGCCAGAGCACGCCCAAGGTGGTCGGCTGGTGCACCGTGGAGGGCTGCTCCGAGGCCGCCGTTTCGTGGAAGAGCCACGTGCTGCACTACCAGAGGTGCCACCTCGACCCGTCCGACGACCGCTCCGTCTGCTCGCTGTGCCTGTCGCGGGTCTCCAGCTACGAAGACCACAGTGTGCTGCACAGGATCAATGACGTGCGCTGCACCGCCTGCGAGGCGCGCTTCGTGTACCAGGAGGCCCTGCGGAAGCACTGGATCCAGTTCCACCGCCGCAACCCGCCCGAGACTCCGGCCGCCAGCCAGGCCGCCTCCACGCCTCTATCCAGGTAGAACGAAGGCTAAAGTGATCCAGGAAGCGGAAGAAGGGTATAAGTCGAGTTGAATCCGTGCACCTTTGCAAGGCCTAAACCTCGCAGGTGGGAGAACAGGTGGGGAATGTCATCTAAAATAGATGCAAGAGGATGGGACTTGTCTCAACACACTTATTTTTGGACCAAATTTTCGCTCATGTTTTCTTGATAGACTGATTAGAGGTCACTGAATCAACTCGACTTAACCACTTCTTCCGCTTCCTGGATCAAATGTTTAGCCGCAACAGGGCCGCAGCTGATTTGCGCTCCTGCACTGCCACGATGACAAGTCACTGCCAAGATATGAATTGTTAATAATCTCCCTCTCAAAGTGTAGTTTTTGATGCCCTTTATTTTTATAGGGCAGTGCCGGCCCTGTCCGCGGCTTCGACGTCCAGCACCGCAGCCACTGCCTCCCACGCCCCGTCGGCCCCACCGTCGTCAAGCCGCTCCGCGTCCAAAGATAGGGGCCCGGCTCGCACGGTGGAAGTCGGGTGGTGCTCCGTCAAGAACTGCGGGCAAGCCTTCACTTCCTGGAAGGACTACGTCAATCATCACATGAGTTCTCACATCAAGGCGGCGCAGGTGGAGTAACATTTCTTGTACTTCGACCAAAGTAGGAAGACACCCGAGTTCTGTCGGTCAAGGCGGCAGCGACCCTCGACCGCGAGAACTCAGAGCTTCCCAGTTTGGTCGCAGTATCTAATCGTTTTTAAGCACCAAACTTCGCCTCGTAAATTTCTCTTCAAAACTGTCATATATCACTTCTGTTCTAGAAGAGCATTGGAATACCTTATTCTTTGAGCCCGCCTCAGCAAACGCTGCTTACAGTCCTTGCATACAGTAAATGCTTGCGTGCATGGATGCGTAGGGTTTTAAGCAGAACCAAATGTATTCATGAGTGTACAGCATTTACCGCATTCATAGTCATATACACACTCCTAATCCAAGAGCAGAAGGAGTCCACGCGCGCAGACAAAATCGTGGTCCACGCAAAGTAAAGTGGACTTCGTCCACACTTAGATTATCAGGGCACAGTATTTAATGTAAACATAGCATGAGCGAGCATATATGCAGTTCACTAATGTATTGCATTCTGTAGTGTGTACTCTAGTGTGGGTAGTATTGTATTCAACAGTGTGTATACTGTTGTATTCAATATCAGTTAAGCTTTGTTAAGGATTCTGTGAAGAGAAAGTAGCATGTCCTAGAAATATTCTTCACAGGAAAATCATTTTGTGGTCAAATTTCAACCACTATTAGATGAATTTATTCCCAAAGTTGGGGGCCCCAACTCTGAATAGTTTCTGAGTTATGGAGGTTTACGTAAACTTTTAGTCGTTTCTCCCAAATTCTCCTCACGACAAGCGATTAGCTACCTAGTCTTCAGATTTTGGCAATTTTATCTATTTAAGCAAAGGAAAAATATAGCGTTGGCATATTTGAAGATGTCAGTCGAGAGGAGACTGTCAAAGCTGTTTTATCAGGCCTATTCTTATTTTTCTTCAAATTTGTGGGATTTTGACCCACTTTGTTTCGGTTTTTCAGGAAAACTAAGGCAGATACAAAAGAGAGGGCAACGCTATCTTTTTCATATTCAAAAAAAGAGAAAATTGCCAGAATCTGAAGACTGGGTTGCTAATCCTATGACGTGAGGAGAGTTTGGGAGAAACAACTAAAAGTTTACGTAAACCTCCATAATTTAGAAACCAATAGGAGTTGGGGCTCCAGTCTTAGAGTATGAGTTTCTATAATAGAAAGGAACTTATAGGCCTAAATTGAGACATCTGACACAAGTATTTGCAAAATGTCAAATACCTACTTTTTTCACATTACAATGTCAGAGTTTCAGGAAGTGCCACATGCGTCACAACGTTTCTAACTCGCGCTTGGTGTGTCTGCCACCAGAGGGGTGTCACGTGCGTCACGTGCCTGGACGTCTACCCGACCGGCGGACTGGCTGATCACCTGGAGGCGCACAGCCGCGGGGAGGAGCAGTGCTCGCTGTGCACCGCCCGCTTCATTGGCGCCGCCAGCCTGATGCGCCACAAGAGGGACTTCCACCACGTCACGAGGGACGGCAATCTGCCGGCCTTCGTCCCCGCCTCGGTTCACGCCTTGGCCCCAGACTCCACCCCGGCCACTCAGGGTTGCAGGTGAGTCTTTTTTGTCACTTGTTAAAAATTCACTCACTTTTGTGGGAAATTTCGTCACTGTTTAGGAGCCTTCGGGTGGCATTTTCCTTATTTTAACACGAAACTTGTCGAAATTCGGTCAATGTCTCGATTTGCTGCGAGGAAGCATTAAAATTTCTCGCCGCCGCGCTGGCGATACACTTTTGTCACCACCACGTAATGCAAATTGTGCAATGCATATTGCGATTTGCTATTTCATTGCACAATTGGTATCACCAGGTGATCACAAAATTTATCCCCGATAAGTGCTTAAAATTGCACCGTCAATGGGTCTAGAAGTCCCATGGCTTTTCATGTTTGGCGCATTGGCTGACTCACGGTCTGGCAACCCTGCCAATGGACCACTGTAATAATATTTAAATGCTTGCGTACATTTGACCAGCTTTAGTGAGTCGTTTGCTTTTTTTTTTTATTAGATAGATACCACACCCAGGCTCAAAACTAGTGCAAAAATAATCTATTTTTATTGCTTTTGTGTGCACCGTTAGAAATTCAGTTTGTAAATTCATGGAGAAAGTTTCTCTAATATTGGGAATGGAGGGCGTTTCTCCGTAAGTTTCAATATTTTTCGGAGATTTTCCGTATTTTTCCGCAGATTGCACTCTTAGACTCGTATTGACTTTTTTCCCTCTTTTATAGACATTTTGTCCTTTGCTTACGTAGTTTTTTCAGCAGCAATAATAAGTAGTATTTCCTTTGTAACCATGTACAATATTGTTCGCTATAAGGACTAAATTGTCATCAATTATTGACTTTCTTTTAAGTCAATTGCGTATTGACGCAATAGCAATTGTCAATAGCAATAGTAATAGCAGTAGCAATAGTCAATAGCAAATGGACTTTGTGTCAATATTACGAACAAAATCGTACATAAATATTGGGGAAATAGTAATTTTTATTGCTGTGTAAAATACTCTTTAACAAAGGACAAAAAGTCAGTACCAGTCTGAGAGTATAGCTAGAGCGTGCTTGCAGGCATGCTCCAGGTAGAGCGTACAATGCACGCTCTGCGATTTGTAGAGTGCCAGATTTTCACGCAGAAAATCCACATTCTCAGTCTCATATGGACTTTTTATTCTGTTATGCTTAGTGTTTTGAGCAGACGTAAATTTTACTATTTTCCCTTTAGCTTGCCCTTTTGGCAAGAGATAAAAAGTCAGAGTCCGAGAGTGCACAACTTAAATGAACGGAGATCTCAGTGTGAAAGAAATGGACGGACAGTCTTCGTAAAATTTCCGTACTTTTACGGATTTCCTGACAGTGTGAGGATCTTCTCTGCAAGGAGTCACTTTCCTCTCTAAAAAGACACTTTTTGCCACGTTTTATGACCTGTTGGAGTCAGTATTTAACGATTTTTTTAACCCTCTACAGCTTAGGCAACTTTGGAGGGTTGATTGGCCGGTGCACCGCCAAGGGTTGCCAATCGATGTTCCGCAGCTGGGAGGACTTCGTCGCCCACTTCAAAGCGACCCACTGCAGGAAAGGTTCCGGAAACTGTCAAGTGTGCCATCTGTGTTTGACCCGTCTATCCACTGCCGATGACGCCTCGCGCCACATGGCGAAGCACTCCAAAGGCAAGGGGCAGGGACATCCCTGCAAGAAGTGCTCAGCGCGGTTTTTTAAGACCAAGAGACTCAATAATCACATCAGCACGTTTCATAGTATTTGTTGAGCTGAGAGGCTATCGCTGTTGTTGTATGTAACATTTTGAGTCAACAGAGTTTCAATTTCAGTTCGTTACTATAATTATGTCTCACAAGAATATGTGTGGAGGATTTTTTTTTTGACATGAAAATGTAGCAGGCGTTCTGCTTTTGTACGGGGAGGTCTTAAGCCCCTTGTGTCTTAGACTGCTAAATTTACGTGAGTTGCTCTTGCTGTGGTAATTGCGATTTCTAGGAGTTTTTTTTTCAATTGGTTATGGTCAGCGTTCAATAAATAAAGTTGTATTGGTCAATCGTCTTCAGTGCTTCTTTAACGAGTGATGGTTTACCTTGGTTCTTATCACTGGAGAAACACTGAGAATCCAAACGCTATGAGTATAGCGTCAATTGGTGCGATGCAAAAGCATTGCACATGTAGTGCAATGCCTCCCAATTCCCATGCATTAGCGTAGGGTACTTTCGGGATGCATCGCACGTAAGGTGCTGTCAGGGGAGCTAGTCGTGGTGTTCCTGAACGGCATGGAGCGGGGTTCGTACGGCAATGAGGACACAGTGTTTAAGGGTTGGATAACCTCCCACTCACCAAGCTAGGTCCGAAAGGTGCTGCCGCTCCGAGGCTCAGCCTACGACTGACGACTCGCGGCCAAGCCGGACGCCGCGAGCGCGTCTGCAAGATCAGCATTTCCTCTTTTCCTATGTTGCCTTGTGTCTATCCCTGACAGGTGCAATATGCGGCTATCGCATTGCACGTATGGTGCGATATCTTAGCTGCATTGCACCATACGTGCTATACTCATAGCGTTTGGAATCTCAGTGAATTGAACTGCGCACGCAGCATACTTTTATGTACGATCACTATTGCATACGTGCTCACCAGCTTGTACATTGAGGCGTGTACACGGTAACTGGAGCAGACGCCCATTTGCAGATTCGTGTGTATGTCCTTCCCTTGCACACGGGTTTCTGCTTCAGCCAGCGAGGGAGGGTGTGGCAGTTCGAAATACGGGCAGTTCGAAACAAACACCAGTATGAAACCAATGAGGGAAATTCTCATTTGTTTTAAACTGCCCCACCCTCCCAAGGGATTCTTTTGCAACTCATAGTACATACTCGGTAAGGTTACCGAGTATGTACTATGAGTTGCAAAAGAATCGGACCCGGCCGGCCGGGCTCGGCGATACCCCGCGCTCAGGCTGGTGCTGAAGAAGCGCGGACAGGTAGGAAGACGGTCGGTCGCCGGGCCGCCTTGTTGCCAAACTATAACTGCAAGTGCACAATAGCTTTATGAGTGAATGACACCTCGACCCGACCCCTGTTCTGGGCGCCGCAGAGCAGCCGAGCAGCTCTGCTTACCCGGCCGCGCGCGTCGGCGCGAGTGCGATTTTTACAAGTTCATTCTCGTGTAAAAATGACTAGTTTTGAGAACGCTACCAGAATGCGTTTCAAGATGAGCTGATTATTTTATTATAAGGTGTTCAATTAACTTTTTCTTACTTCATGAAAATAATCCTAGAAAATTTATTTTTATATGCACAGATTGGAAATTGAGTTTCCAATACATTGGTCGACATTCCAAACGCCCTGGAAAATTTGCATTCGAGAATCAGCCGAGTCGCCTCCTGGTTATTGTGTCGAGGGCCTCTTTTACTCCGAGCTGCACCGCTGCGAGGGTGCTGACACGCAGATTTATTGCCCCTCGACCCAAAATAAAAATTTTCAAAACACTCAATTTTTGATTTTGAATTGGGTGGAAATGGCTTCCTTGCAAAGTTGCGGGTCCAGCCATATGTTGAAATTTTGTTCTACGCCAATTTTAACCGATATTTTAGGCCAAATCCGGTTGCCTACAGCCCGCTCCGGGCTCCGGGCCCAGGCGGCCCAGGGCAGGCCTTTTGCACTCTGGTGCATGCTGCCCCCCTCCCCTCCCGGCACGTGCAGTTTATAGTTAGACAACAGCGCAGCCCTGCGTCGGTCCATCTGCCGAGAAGCCCGCCCGTCTTCGGCAGACGTCTGGGCGCGGGGTAGCGCCGGGCCCGGCCGGCCGGGTTCGATTCTTTTGCAACTCATAGTACTTGTTGCTGTGAACACAGCCAACAGCATGTATGCGCATGTTCGAGCGTTTGATAGTAGTAGAAAGTTGATTTAATGAGTGCACACGTGCACACTTCAATTTGTAGATGTAGGGAGTATTGTGAAAACTCAGAACACAGGTCATTGATGTTACGTGACGAAGATTTGAAATAAATCAGACTTAGAACTCAGTGAGATTACTTATTAAGTAACAATCGTGTGTGAACTGTTGTTAAAGAGGCATTCCTGCTTCCATTTTATCAAAATAATTGTGCCATTTCTTTGCTTCATCTGGTTGCCGAGATGATTTTTATGTGCATAGGAATGGGTGTTTCAAAGAATCAACACTTTCTTTAATTCATTTATTCAGTGCTCTTACACTTACAAGGAAAATAAAGATGTTTCACCGTCAGGAACAATTAAACTTATATAAAGCTAGTGGACGGCGAGTTACTCATAGACCTCATTGTGAGTCTTTCTAAAATCTTGATTGTGCTGTGAGACAACTCCCAGACACGCAGGACCATGCTCAAGCACATGTATCCTACAACCACGTCAACAGCATGCAGAGATCAGTTGCACATTTCGTGCCGTACAACCTCGTATGGACCATGACGATGACGCGGTTATGCACAATTTTCGTTGACATTCAATCGCACTGCGTACAAAGTACACTGTAAGGTAGGCTTACAGCCACTTGACGCAGCCCTTCGGGCAGCCGACCTCTTTGAAGTGCGCCGCGAACGAACATCGTCGCAGCCCGGCGGCGGTCTTGAGCTCTTGGTGGCACCCCCAGCGACACCAGTGGCAATCACAGTGCGGCGCCGGGAACTCCATGGCATCACAGTCCGCGCGAAGGTGCAGGCCAGGGTTCCTGGCCAGCAGGTCCTGGACAGCGGGGCCGTGCAACCAGGAGGCATCCTCCATAAGTAAAATGTAAGTACAATCAGTCCAATATGTGAATTATGGTACATTACGAATTCTAAAACATAATGCCTTAGTACGAGTCAATAGAAATTGTTGACATGTATGCTGCCCATTCTGCGAGGTTCCTTCATACATCTGAAGTCTCGCCAGACAGCATATCAATGAGTGGCTGCATGCTTAGCAATTTTGGCAGAATGTCAGTATGCCATGTTATGACAGTGCCCGCCAAATGGGTCCGATTATTTCGAGGACTTTATCATTAATGTCAGTGCTCATGAGTACGCTAGTCACATTTAAAGGAGGTCGGTGGTCACGTGATTCTCCCCCCAACCAATAGGAGAGGAGGCAGTTCTTAGAATCTCAAAAGACCTCGAGGAGATCGAATCAACTAAAACTAAGAAAATCGTCATCAAGTCTCCAAATGGTGTGACGTCACCGCTGCTTACATCACAAGAACCGACTAAAGGGAACTGACTAAATATTTTGGTCAAAATTTCGACTAAGTTTTGTTTGATTCGACTAATATTTGGTCGTTTTTATCGTCCACTCATGCTCGATTGGCGTGTTCTTAATTCTACATATTCTTGGTCGCCCTGAAAAACGACTAAATTTCTTAGTACAATCCACTAAATTTTAGTCGATTGAACTTAATTTTTTTGACAGTGAGTGAATGCAGCCCTGAAGGTAAGGAATGGGGAGGAAACCAGTTAATAATGCTGAATTACAGACAAATTGACGAATGGTTTCTAAACAAATCCAGCACTGCAAGTACACTCCGAATGAAAGAGACATGATCATGACTACAATTTTGGGCGAGGAATTCTTTATCACCCAAATTTCGGTGAGGAAGGTTTTCTCACCCAAGTTCTGGTCTTAATACTTTGGAGCAATGTAGGTAGCTGATACACCCTTCCTCACCCAAATTTGGGCGAGGAAGCAATCCTCGCCCAAATTTGTGTGATGAAGTATGCCTCGCTCAAAATTGGGTATTGATCAGGACTTTTTCATTTTCAGTGTACAGTCGAGGTGGCTTTTCATTAAGGGGGCAGTAGCGTCTTTTGCACGTGTTTTGACGATTTTCGAACCTCCTGTTTAGACGTTAATATAAAGATAAGTATGAATGCCAGAGGCAAACGGCAGGCACCATTTGAAAGATAAAAGATTTTACAACATTTTCAAAAAAAAATATTTTGTTTTAGCATTGAATTAGGATGTTTTGTGTTATATGCAAAAATAGTCTGCAAAATTACATGGTTTCACTGCGCGCACGATTGCAGCCAAAGTTTTTAACTTTTTACCAATCGGTAAAATGCATCTGAAAAAGCATGAAATTGCCCATAAAATGCCCTTGGGTTTTAATATTGGCCAGAAAAAATGTGGTTCGTTTCCATTCACTTAAGTTGCAAGATGAGCGATTTCAATAGTTTTTCTTGCCAATATTGAAACCAAGGGTCATTTTATGGGCAATTTCATGCTTTATTACCAGATGCATTTCTGGGGCCGGGGAATCTGGTAAGGGAAGGTGCAGGCCAGGGTTTCTGGCAGCAGATCCTGCAGCGGGGCAGTGAACCAGAGTGAATGAGCCTTTGGGGAGGAACCATTAATTGCTGAATTACGACAAATTACAAAGGTTTCAACAAATCCAACTGCAAGTAACTCCGAATGAAAAATTGTCATGACTAAATTTGGGAGGAATTTTTATCACCCAAATTTCGGTGAGGAAGGTTTCTCACCCAAGTTCTGGCTTAATACTTTGGCTGTAGTACTGATACACCCTTCCTACCAACGGAGGTTCGAAAATTGGGTATGACAGGACTTTTGCATTTTGTGACGTCGAGGTGGGTTTTCATTAACTGACGTGACGGGGGTCGGATAGTAAAAACCCTGCCAGCAAAAACTATCTTTAAAGAAGGTTTCAACCTCCAGTTGTTGTTCACTAGAAGTGTGAAAACTCACTGTGAAGAGCTCTTCACAACGAGTTTTTACACTCCAGAAAGATTCTAACCAACGGGTATAGACTGATAAGTATAATTTCTATTCTGTATTTTTTAATATAGGTGCATACAAAGCTACGAATCTGTTGAGAGCTTTGAAAAGAAAAACAACAAATTTTATGGTCAATCTTAACGTTTTAAAGGGGTTGTACACTTCGCAAGGTATAAATAATTAAGCGATAAGAGACTTCGTACATTACTGCGATACGTCCCGGAGAAACGTCCCATGCCGATGCAAGCGAAGTGGTAACTAAAGCGTAAGTAACTCTGTGCTTGAGTCAAGCATAAAGTTATGTTTGAAGACGTTACGCTTGAAATGAAGCATACTCTGGAAATTGCCCCCATGCTTTTAGATGGAGGGAATCTTGGCGGATGAGACTGTTACGCTTCATTTCAATCGTAAATTCATCACGCTTGGAAACAGAGGGACGTAACACTACGCTTCAGTTTTACCAGTGATTGCACTACTCGCGCGAGACCAATGCATTGCACCAAAAGAGTACTACACGGAAGCTCTGCACGGTAAAAACGGTACCTGGTTTTCCCAGGAAGCCTATGGTAGAAACATAGGCGATTTCCAGGGAGTTCCTGGGAAAACCAGGAACCATTTTTACCGTGTGGCCTGGAAGAAACACAAAAACGGAAGTAAGAAGTTGCAGTTTCTATGAGAAATATAGGCTGCGGATGAGCCCCAGACCTCATGCGCAACGTACATCGCTCATAGCAGCTTCTCACTTCCGTTTTCTTCTTCTTCTTCCGGGCCAGAGCTCCTTTGCAGTACTCTATTGGTGCGATGAAGACGTGTTGAAACGTAAGGCACCAATTGACGCTATGCTCATGGCGTTTGGACTCGCGGTGTAGTACCATGTGGGCGAAAAGAACCCGACCGCTCCGGCCGGCTGTGGCTGGGGTTTTATGGTCACAGCGTCTAAACCTTTCAACTTAGAAGAGTAAAGTAAAGCTGTGCAAGAAACAATCGGCTCTCTTACTATAGCCCTCTAAATTCAACGGTTCGCTGTGACCAGAAAACCCCGGCCAGAGCCGGCCGGAGCGGTCCGGTTCTTTTGGCTCACATTCGTCCTACCTTTACAGGCGGCAGCGTCAGCGAGGTGAGGCGGGGCGCCGACTCTGGGCTCACCGCCCGCATGAAGTCGTCGCAGAGCTTTGCGTCCGCAGACATGTAGGTGATGGACTGCAAAATCGAGATTGTGAGCGTCTGCAGGGAGGGGAACCGTGCCAGGACACCGGCCATCGCCCTCAGCGAGTCCGACGCACACAACAGACTTAGAGATTCAAGAGAGGGGGCTGACGGCGACGCCGCAAGAGCGAAGAGGGGATCCGCCGGGCTCGGCAAGGCTTTTACGAAAGTCAACTTCACGGATCGGAGCTGTGCCGATTGCCGAAGGAAGTCCAGAGCCTCGGGGGGGAATGGGTACTCTCCAAAAGCTATCAACTTGAGCTTGTGAACATGGGATAACGCTTCAGAATAAGCCAGGTCGCTGTTCAAGTGGCAGGTCAATGATTGCAGATTTGGTGCAACAATCGTGCGCAACGCCGAGGGAAGCTGCCCTCCTGTCATGAGGCACACATTTTCCAGAGTGGCTGCATGTGTCCTCAACAACAACTGGACGAAATAGTCTGCCGAATATCCGTAAATGAGCTTGGTTAGAGATGGCTTCACCGCCTGTGTCGAAAGTAGTGCATCCGACAGTGGTGGAGAGCATTGCATCCTCAATTCCAGTTCGCAGAGGTCTTTAAGACCGTAGATCAGTTCAAAGAACGCAGGTGGAAAATGCACCTCACTCAACGTGTCAAGTTGAACCACTCTTAAACCACCCAAAGCAGACAACTTTCGGATCAGGTCTATGACCAAGGTCACACTTTCCTGTTGTTGGATCATGAAGGTGACAGAAGCGACTGCGCACGTTATGCTCGGCACGAGGGGGGCCACTGCCTGCAAGGTGGGCCTGAAGAACATGTCCTTGAGAAACATACTGCCCAGGCAGGGGGCCAGGCGGAGGACGGCGCGCAGCAGCCCGGCGTCCGACAGCCAGACAGACCGCCACAAATCCGGATGCAGGCAGAGGTCTCGGAAGCGGCGGCACACCAGGCGGCAGCGCAGGAGCTCCGCCGGCGACAAGAAGGCCAGCACGGCCAGCAGAGCGTCGTCCGGCAAGGGCTGTGGGCAGGCAGGAACGAGTCAGGGCACCACTCCAAATCCATTGGCGATACTGGAGTATCTCTTAAGGCGAAACAATTGAGCGCACTGTGAAAATTTGTTGTAACTTTATGACAAAACCGATTTCCGGCAGCACTCCCTCCAGTATTCAACCAAAAACCAAATGCTGATTCGACTTGTAATCACACCGATTAATATGCTGACGTTTAGAAAAATAGACGCCTGCCGAAGGCGCCAACGCCGCAGGCCAAGGTAGGAGTAAACGCCAGGTGTGGACTGTCATAACAGGCGCAGCATCGCGAAGCCTGTTGCGACAAGACACGGTCTGGCCTAGACCTACCTTGTTAAAAAGATGGTCCGAACATTTTCTACCTTACTCTAATATCCATCCCAAATGATGGAATTCGACAAATTCAAGATGAGAGGTCCTTTACACTGAAGCGACCAGGTCACACGGTAGAAACGGTTCACTGTTAAAAATTGTTGTTTTAAAACAACAACACAATTTACCAACCTCGACAACGCTGCTGTTTGTGAACAAGTTTGCTTGTTTTAAAACAACGAATTCGTTGCTAATTATTTTTATGACTTAAGCTGTTTCAAAACAATATTTTGCTGCGTACAAACAACCCGGACAATCTAAGAAGTGGTTACTGCGGGGTAACCGGGACTCTACTAGGTCTGTGACCTAATCGGCAATAAAAATTGGTGCAAATAAGGCTGTCTACCGGTTTACAAACATCTTGTGGACGAACGACGCAACTCGTTAGTAAACAACGAAAGTCATTTGAAAACAACTTTGATCATTAAGAAAATTAGCAACATATTTACTGCTAAATTACAACATAATTTTTAACAGTGTTCCTGGTTTTCCCAGGAACCCCTGGAAATCGCCTATGTCTTCGCCATAGGGCTCCTGGGAAAACCAGGTACCGTTTTTACCGTGCATATGGAGTATTTTAATCAAGATTCGATAAGATCTTTTAGCGTACTTCAAAGTGTCTAGAGAAAAAAACTGCACCAGTAGTGGTGTCGTTCACATATTACGTAATCACCTACGGAGGTGGAGCTCGGTCATGCTTGAAGCATCGAAGGTTAGGTTTGCGAATGATTACATGGGGTAGGGAGGGGTAAAAAATTTACCTTAAGGCGATGAGGTAACATGTGGACGATCCCCACTCTCCGTGACGTCACGATAAAACGAATGTGGAACAAAATGTATGTTCCTTGGGACATGGTGTCACATTCGTTTGAATGTTAATCCGCCATAAACAAATTTACAGGAACCTGCACGGTAAAAACGGATCCTAGTTTTCCCAGAGAATTCCTGGGAATCGCCTAGGGGTAAGTTGGGAAAGAAAGGCACTGGGTAAGAGCGCACCCTTATGGAGCAGATGTCTTGACTTTGAGCACTCCGGTGACCAGTTATTTCACCTAAAAACGTAAATCTGAGTGTGAATTTCCTGTCAAATGGATGCCGAGATGTCTGCAGTCTACCTCATGGGGTTGAACTTTTCTTACCCTGTGCTTTTCTTACCCGACTTACCCCTATGTCTTTACCATACGCCTCTGGACAAAACGCGTATCGGTTTTTACCGTGACATTTTGTTACATTCGTTTTAAGGTGGGGTCACGTTCCGGGGATGAGAAAGCGTACGGTAAAATGGAGTACTTACCGATTGTTTTGACTCCACCATTGCTCCACCATCCATTGCCACAAATGAACGTTGAGGGACGCAGTTTCCGGGAGCACGAAGCAGACAGGGACCCACCTGCACAGATTACACGCTAACATCAGAGTGGATCAGAGAGACTAGAACCACTTCGCGATTAGTAAGGGATTCACTAACGACGGTTTCGTTGGCGACCCCGTGGAAGAACACTGCGGCAAAAAGGTACGGAAAATTCTGGTAATTGTTTTCCCAGGATTCTCCGTAGCCCTCTAATCAACATTCTCCGTAGGCTCTTACAGTCTTCTCCGTAGGACCTGAAGGACTGTACAGTCCTACGGAAATCACTGTTGTAAGGTCCCACGGAGAATACTGTGCGGTCCTACGGAAAATGCCGTAAGAGCCTACGGAGAGTATTTATAAGAGGGCTACGGAGAATTACCACAAGCTGTTAACAGAATTTTCCGTAGCTTTATGCCACAGCGAACTGCACCAGAATTCGGGCAAACTTACGGGAAATCACGCCTGCACCTCCCACGCGACAAGCAATAGAGGACACCGTGTCGGACAAGTAGGTGGTACGAGTGTGATATCTCCTGCAATGCGGCTCGAGTTCAGCGCATCCGTTTCCCGATCTCGAAGCTTCTTGCGAAGAAATTCTCAAGAATACGCAGGACATGCCGCGCAAGCTTTCGTATTACGCTTCGTATTTCGAAGCGTTTCCTCGTAACTTGCGATGCGAATCTTGAAAAGATTCGTATAGAGCAATCTAGTCGTCGCCGACCGAAGAACAAGAAGAAACCGGAACTAGGGCTGGCAACCTACTTTGGGGCACTTTGGTGAACTTTTTTCAGAGTTGTCTGTGGCGTATCTTTTTCAAAAGCACTTTCGTCTGTTTCAAATACATTTTGACACAGAAATAACAACATTTGTTCACATTTTTTCTTGAAACCGGGCTCGCTACCTACTCCGTTTCATCACGGTTTCCGGTTTTGTTCTTCTATTTCTTCTCCGATCGGCGGTAACTAGAATGCTCTATGATGGTCTCTTCGCTTCGTATTATGCTTGCAAATTTCAGCAATACATAGCTCAATTTTCTGCGCGCCAATGCACGAAATTAAAGGAGCACTTCGTAACGTAAAAATTAGTGCGCGACAATGCACGATTTTCTGCATACTTGCGCACGAGATCGTGCATTGTCACGCTCAAATTCGTGCGTTACGACGTGCATGTTTAATGTCGAGCGCTGGCGCGCAGAAAAAAATTGATAGTAATTTAGTGTGAGAGTAAACATCAAGGGGTCCCCAACCGAGCCGGCGAGCGTACATTGTCTTAAAGTCAAAACTGACTTTTTTGACTTTTTTGTGACTTTTTGATTGTTTTTTGACTTTTTTGTGACTTTTTTGAGTATCTTTTCTGACTTTTTGCGACTGTTTTGCCTTGGAACTTTTTTCATTTTCACACGTTTTAATGACTTTTTGACTTTTAAATGACTTTTTGACCTTTAAATGACTTTTTTGACTTTAAAAGTTACTTTTCCACCAGCGTTTATTGAAATTTGCCATTTTTAAAGGCTGTTTCGTGACTTTTTGGATACTTTATAGTGGTTTTTCTGTTACTTTTTGACTTTTGTGACTTTTTGACTTTTAGTGACTTTTTTAATGACTTTTTCACCCGTGTACACCGATTTTCGCCGGTTGGGGACCCCTTGGTAAACATGATACCAAAACGAAACAGTACCTGAGCGCAGCTTCAGTAGGCGCTGTTTCGGTCGGTACACCCGAACCGCTCGGAACGAAATGGATTCTTAGCTGAACCAGGTAGAAGTTAGCTGCACTGAAAATCGATTGGAGTGATTTCTTGCCGCTGCAGGGGCGTGAATCTCTATCAGGGATGACGATTGTAGCAGATGAACTTGCCACGCCCCTTGCGGCATCCCAGCCGTAATGAGCTTGGGGTCGGAGAGAACTCCGTCCACTTTCACCCGTGTTGTCCTGTTGGTAACGAAGTTGTGAACTAATTATACAACACGTTTGGAAAATCCTTGTGGTCGTAGCTTAGCCACCAGCTCCGTAGGGGGTACACGGTCGAAGGCCGCTTCCACGTCGAGGGCCGCAAGAGCGACGGTCATTCCCTGTTCAGCAGCAGAGCATACTTTGTCCAGAACACGGGCTAGCTGGAGTACCGCGCTGTGGTTTGCCCGAAATCCAAACTGCTCATCAGGGAGCACCTTTAGTTCTGCTTCTTCTCGAAGGATGTACAGGAGAATAAACTTCTCATACAGTTTGGAAATGTTACTTAGGAGACTAATTGGACGGTAGGTCTCCGGGAGTGACGCGTCTTTCCGAGGCTTCGGCAAGACTTTCAGTATAGCCTCCTTCCAGATGGTGGGGAAACTGCTATTCTGAAGCAGGACTTGTAAAAGCACCGCCAGGCTGTCGAGCCAGTGAGGTGAGGTGGGAGAAGCTTAAGCACTTCGTTCGATATATATCATCAAAACCCGGTGCCTTGCGCTTCGGGAGCTGGTCAATCATCTCCTTGAAGGCAAGGGGGGGTGACTCTCCCGAACCGTGTATTATATATTATAGGTATTATAGAGTATTGTAGGTATTATTCCGAATATTATATTTGGATAATTGTGTCGCTTTAAGTGGTTTTTCGTGTAGCAAGGGTTTCCAAAATACGCAAGATAGTTGAAACCACGGATTCCGGCTTGCGCTCTGAGCCTCAAAATACTACCGCACATCTTTAAAATCTCTTAAGAGAATTCTGGATTTCTTTTCTGAGGTGAGCTCATCTATCTTTTTGATTACGGCATCATAATTACGCCTGTTATCCACAGTTGAGATTTCACCATTTTCAGTGACAACTCTCTGCTGGGCGAGTGAGTCAGCAAATGAATTGTACAAATTCCTGAGCTCATCTCCTCCCTGGAGAAGAAGTGCCGCCCACTTTTCTTCAGTGGTGGCTTGAGTGTACCTTTGATCAATTAAAAACAGCTCAAATTTTTGTTTGAACTGCGTCCAAGCCTCACTCATATTTGGTCCTTTCAAGTGAACAGGCCCCAATAATCTGTCATTCCTCTCCATTTTGAATAAAACTGATTATGATAGTACTGACGATAGTTGTTCTGCACACCCCAACTCAAGTCCAGTTCACAGATTTTTCCACTGATTGACACTATCACTTCCAATGACAGTTGTACTCAACACGTGGTCCTACCGACTGCGCCATGTTGTAGTTCGGGAGAAAAGGGTTGACAATAGAGAACACCGGTGAAGATCAAATGAGAGCTTTATTAATGTCAGAGCTTGTATTTATAGATTCTCCAGGATTCTGGAGGGCGAATAGCCACCTGGCTATTGGCAGTCATCCAGCACTATATGCAGTAGCCATGGATGTACGCAGTAAAGTCACTGCCTACTAGAACACCTTCCCCTCCAGTTTTTTAATGAAAACAATTCTGTTGATTTCAGAGCGTGTTGGTGATTGTCATTTTTAGGTAATGTTTGCCTTATGTTTATTTTGGAGTAGGGTATGTTCATGGCAAACACACTTAATTCTTATGGACTTTTTAAATGCATAAGGACGCATTTTTTTATGCATAGTTATGCATGCGCAGAAACGTCCTTAAGGTATGTAAAAAATTATGCATCACTGTGTACTTTTTATGCGTCTTCCTGCATAAAATGTACACAGTGATGCATAATATTATACATAACATATGGACGTTTCTGCGCATGCATAACTATGCATAAAAAAGTCCATAAGAATGTGTGAAGTATGAGCAGAATAGCATCACAAAGGCTTCCTGAAGATTCTTGACAGAGGCAACAACAGTGTTGTCTATGAACACGAAGATTCGGTCGTGCCTGGGTGTCAGAAAGAAAATTATAAATAAATTACTTGTGTTCAAACTTTAACTTATACACTTTTCTTAAATAATATTTTACCTGCTACCACAAGTATGGGAGTTCTTCCAGGTGGGAGGTCCTTGTAGTTTTTCATGTCCTCGAATGTGTCAGTTTTCTGTAAAAGATAATCGTGAAAGGTCAAGTATTTGAAGTTTGAATTGAGTAAGTCAACAAGAGGGCAGTAATTTACCCACCGCCATTTCCAGCCAATCTTCAATAATGCCATTTGCATAGAGAAAAACACAAGAAACAGTAGAGAAATCAAATTTTTAAACAAGGAAAAAGCCGAGGGGGGTCAACTCTGAAATTTTTTGTACGAGGAACATGTTTCAAAGTAACATGAAGAGAACATGAAGGGAAAATGGGAACACTTCCGAACACCAGGAATATTAGAAATCCCGAGGAACATTCAGAATACCGAGAATATCTGGGCATATCAATGAACGTCTCGGAAACACTAAGAACACACAGACATTGAAGGGACCCTGGTGAAACTTTCAAGTAGGCTTTAAAATAATCCCAGAAATTTGAAACTTTGCTTACTTGTTAGATTTATTTTGGCGAATTCCCAAAACAAAATTCAATCCAAAATGTTGAACGGTCTCTGAGGAAAATGCCACTAAAGTGTTTTTGAGAACGTTGAGGAAAAATCTTTCTGCCTCTTTCATAGGGACGGAAAATCGAAAACGGAAACGCGGAAACGCGAAAACGAAAACGCACTGATAAAAATTTTGTAGTAACTTAGCGACACATTTATTCGTTGTGGAACGAATAGCTTGTTAAACCATAGTCGTACAGGAACTAAAGGATAATTTTACAACGACTAACTTGTAATAACACATAAACAGTCCACTTTCAAAAACAAGTCGTTGACCAACATCAAATGTTGTAAGTCATCGACAAGTATTGTAAGTCGAAAAAGATTGGCGAACAAAATAGATGAATTTTCATAATTCGCTTTAATTGAGCAGATAATTGCAAAAGATGTTGTTTCCACACAAATTGTATCGTTAAGGGTGATAACAAGAATATTGTTCTTCAACGACAAATTGTTGCTGACATGAGTCAACGACACTTGTTTCGCTTTGGTTCATGATAAAATTCTAAGTTTTGGAACGACTAAATTTTCACTTATCTGCTTGTTTCTGTACAACCATTTTTGAACAGTGGACCCTTCGGTCTGCCTGCACCGCGGGGCAGCACCGTGGCAAGCCGAACCCTCCCCTACGGCTAAATATCTAGGACTGACTCTAGATAGAAAACTCTCTCTGCATGAGCACATGCTAAAAGTTACTACAAGTTAGGTTTACGCCAGACCGCGTCTTGTCGTGGCTTCGCGATGTCTCGCGGCCTGTTCCTACAATCCGCGCCTGGCGTACCTACCTTGGCCTGCGGCGCTAGCCTGCCTTCGGCAGGCAATGGCTACTTTGTCGTCGGTTACTTCTTCCTTGTTGCATACTGGGGGGGGAGCCCCCCAGACCCCCCTTAATTCTAGATAGAGTTGCTTCATCTACAGATAACACGATCTTGACCGTTGTCACTTTTTAACTTGTCGAGGCTGGGGGGCTCCCCAGACCCCCCTTTCTTCAAGACAGAGGTGATCTACCTGCAGAAAACTCGATTTTTCGCCGTTTTTTAGGTGTTTTTCGGCTATAAAAACTGAACTAGTTGAGCTAGGACATTGAAATTTCTCGTGTGCCGAGCCAAGAACATACCTAATAAGCCTGCAAAATCTCAGCCAGATCGGCCGAGACGTTCAGGAGGAGTAGTGTACACACACACACAGACAGACACACAGACTGACAGACAGAAAAAACTTTTCAACCGCACTGGAGTAACAGGCTTCGCTATCGCTCAGCCAATGATGGTTTC